CTCCCTCCTCCACGCCCTCTCACGCCCTCCTCTGCTTTCCCTCCTATGTGCGCTCGTCTGATGCCTCTTCACAAAAAGGTGAATCAAGCGCAATTTTCGGGGCGGGGGTGGCAGTGTCGCCGCTAAAGTTGTCTCCTTGTCTGTTGCCTTCTACTCACCTTTCGCAGTATTTACATATTCACGAGTGTCGAGGCACCCTAACGTAATACACGTTAAGCAAAGGATTTCCGAAAGTCGGTGAATGATATTAATAAAAAATGATACACCATGTAAAATCGTGGTTTTGCCTTGATTTTGTCCTGGTGGTAGTATGTACTTAAGGGCCTGGATTGTTCTCTTCTAAGTAAGTAATTATTTATAAATGCTTTACCGGCCAAAGATTTCCCAATAAGTCAATTCGGACTACTCTCCCCATGTCGACACGTGTACATAGTAATTGCTGCAGCAAATTTTCACTGCAACCCTCAATGCTCCTACACGATCAATATAGGCTGGCCGAGGTGACAGGAGCGCAGTGGAGCGTAGCAGAGACTACCGCGTCAAGGCCGTGCCCGCTCGGTTCGGGTTCTGGTCGCATTTGACAGTTGCACTGTAGCGACGCCCCTTTGCACCCTGATCAGCTGGCCTCACCTATATTATTATTACTTATCATTTATTATTCTATTATGGCACGTCATAGAGGAGACAGGAGGTGGACACCATTTGTGATTAGGTACACACAGATGATTTGGTCACCACGTCAGTACAATGACCCAGCCTGCCCCACCACCACTGCCCTCTGTGATCTGCGCGAGCACTTGAGTTGCCCTTCGCCCCTGCAGCACATCGTGACAGTCGCTTGAATGTCCTCCGGCAATCTGTTATATAATTTCCCGCTACGGCCGACCAGTCGGGGCTAGCAGGAAAGACGCATGATAGAGGAGTAGCCCTGTATAGAGTTACACACCTGCGCTGTTATTTTTTAGACGCAACGTCAGGAGAGAGATAGCCTGTGGACCAGTGCGGATTGGTCCACAGAGTTGAAAAAGACAGTCCGGGGGAACCTCTTTTTTCTGCACCCCGGGGGGTTGTGGTTTATCAGTCCGAGTCTACACCGCGGTCACTACATAAACCCCCACGACACCCCAATCGGAACCTGGCAAAGTATCTCCACGAGTTTGTAAATCCCAAAGGGTAATTTACATGGCCCGCGATGTCACCCTTAAAAGATGACGTTGTTAGGGGTGTGTATAGGACGCATGTGTTGCATGGGCGCTGACAATTGTATACTTCCGAGCTATAGTCGGTCGAGTGCCGTATATCCACATTCGTCCCCAATTTCACGATAGAAAAATATCCACCACC